CTCAGGAAGTGATGTGACACAAGCTAAGCAGTGCTTTCCGAAAAGATACATACTACTGTTTCTTCACTCAAAAGTATGTTGAGTGACTCTGGAAGACGCTGGTAAGGGGAGCTTTGGTTACAATTTTCCACCAACCAACCAATGGTGTTTTTTTCATGTCTGTGTCATCATTAGCAAACTGTCTCATGTCTGGATTAGTTTGTTGTTGATTTAATAAACATTTCCATTTTAGAAAAATTGAGGATTTTAGAAATGTCAGAGAGTCTGAACAAAACTTTTCTGTCCAGCACGAGTTTGTAAAAAGCCATTTTTATTTGGAATAATAAATAATTTTACTTCCAACATAAAGACTTTTTTATAAGATGTAAAACAAAAGAAAGATGAAAAACAGCCAAATCAAGTTTTTCAAAATAAAAGTACATCTTTGAGACAGTAAAATTTTGACTCACTTATGGCTTTCTTAAGTTTTTATATGAAATATTTCTCACAACGGTCACAACAGTTTCTCTTCCCAGTCAAACCTCTCTCTGGGCTACCAGCGTTATGAAGATCAAAAGGTATTTTTCAGCTTTCATCATAACAGCACAAAACGTTGTGTATCATTTTATTATAGAGTTGCGGTCCAAGCGTAGTGGTGAACACGTATTCAGAGCTTTCGAACCTGATCATTACAGCACATCCTTTCATGTGTTTAACGGCATTATTTGAAATTTGTCATTTTCATTGAATAAACAGTCTGATTCTCACAAACTCGGCTTGTTATTGTATTCATAATGAAGGTGCCACAAAGGCTACCTTTGGCCAGTCAAAGTTATTAAAACTAATTTTATCATCTGTAATGAAAAATGAACGACTTGTGTTTGATATTGTTGGCAAAACTAACAAAGAGAGGTTTGCTTTGATCAGGAAAATATCTGAACCCTGTAGGAGAATTTAATCAGCAGCAAGGTTTTGGCTTCAGAATATCTCCGTAGGAAAAAAAAGGAAAGTTGATTAGGTTAAGGGGGGAGAAGCAATAAAATGAGCCCATAGCCAAAGAGATCATTAAGTTAATGGATTACTGGTGGCTAAAAGCATTACACTGCTGCGTATCTCAGACCATGGAGCTCTGCGGACAGCCGAGGGCCGGCGAGCGCCACGCTGAGCGACGACGCTGAGAGCTGAGAGCTGGCTCAGAAGTGACGAAGGGCATTAGCAGCCCTGCATCCTCCAGTCTGCAGCTGGTATTAGCAGGCACCGAGCGCTCTGTCAACACGTATTACTCCACACACAAATCATCGGACCGGCGTCAGCACTGTGCCTGCGCTACAGCAGCAAAACGAAGGGAAAGACAGAAACTGCAAGATGAATAACTGTGACTCCTGAGTATATAGTTGTGAAAATATACATAGAAAAGATACTGAAAGGTTTACTCTGAGCTGAATACACAAGGAAATAGAACAACACTGAGCAGGACACCTGTCAGAGGCGGCAAACACACATTCTTTACTCAAGTAGAAGTGCAGGTACTAGAGTAGAAGAACTGATTCAACTTCTTTACTCAAGTGAAAGTGAAAAAGAACAGGCTCTAAAATGTACTCAAAGACTAAAAGTACTGTTAGTTTCTCTGAAGGACAACTTCGAATAGTGTCGAGTCTCCCTCTCTTGTCTGTTTCTTCATACCGGTGTACCGGTCTTGATGTATGGAAGGTGTGATGCTACAAAAACTAATAAATCAATAATTCCTCTCAAATGCATTGGAACTAAAGGAGTATAAAGTACAGATATTTGTGTAATAAATGTAGGTGGTAAATGTAAAAAGTTGTCAGAAAAGTACAGATACCTGAAATAACTACTAAAGTACTTCCCATCTCTAAAAATAAAGGACAAAATCAGGTTGAAAAAGAACAAAAAGTAGAAATTATAAGAAACGATTATCAGATTTTTCCGGGGCAGCTGTTAACTGTCCAGCCTTTAATCCTTCTGACAGCTTTAACGCCCGACTATGACACACAAAACCTGAAATAGGTGGACATCCACAGAGCTTGTCAACTGTGAATCCAGACCGTCATGAGCTTCGTGCAACAGGACAAACAGTATCACAGACGAGGCGAGAGGATCACAGTCAAATGCTGAGGATCCAACACGCACACATACATCAAAGGCTATTTATTGTGTTTGTTTAAGCTGTATGCTGGAGATCTTCGCCCTTACGCCGCTATCCGGTGACAAGTACGGGGATTTGTCTGCTGCATGTGTACGTGCAGGGCTGGCTCTGAGGCTGAGGAGCATCATTACGGACTAAACACAACTAAAACAAAACACAGGCTTTCTGGTGCCCCACAGTCTGCCCAACTGAGGCTCTGGAAGAACAGAGGGAAGGGAGGGGGGGTTAGTGAGTGAGAGAGGGAGGCAGCTACGCACAACTCAGGCGATTAGAGCAACTAATTTATTGAAAACTATTATTTTTACCCCTTAAATCCTACATGACCCACCAGTGGCTCCATCTATACAAACTCATGTTGTACAGCCAAACTTTGTTCAAACCCACAGTACTTTAACTGCAGATTCTGGGGGAAGTTCCCAAAGTTTCCAAAAATACAAAAATGTCAGTTTGAATTTGGAGGGAAAGCTAATAAAATAACGCACAAGACGTCTACAATATTTCCTTTTGATGTAACGGTGCAGCCGCTAAAAACACGCCATTGTGCGCCTTTAATGAAGAACAAGCTGATCCAGAATATGCAGAATACGCTAAACTGTGGAAAACGTCTTCTTTTTTTCTTCTTCTCCCCACTAAATTTGAGGGAAGAGTTGAAGAGTTTGAGAGATGAATCATTTATCGTCAGATTCAGACTGAGTTGGTTATTATGTGGTGGTAGTAAAATGAGAGGAGGGAACCTGACTGCCAAGATGTGAAGCAGTCACTGACGTTTGATGCCAAAGGATGTGCGTTACACGGCGGTGGAAGGCTCGGATCTCTTACGTCAGTAAAAGCAGCACTACCACACTGTGAAAGGGCAACATTAAAAGTCCTGCTTTCAGGATTGTGCCTTAGTAGAGACGTATTAAAAGCAAAATGTACTTATATTTTTTAAGTTTTAAGTAGAACATAGATTGTATATTATAATATACTAATGGAATATTATTAATGACTCATTACTGTGTAAACAGCATTTTAATGTTCCAGTTGGTGGTAAATTTAACTGATTTATACACTGTTGGACACTTTCATCAGTAGTAGAAAGTAACTAAGTAAATATATTTACTCAAGTACTGTGATTTGTACTTTACTTGAGGATTTTCATTGAGATACTCCACTTTTTACTGGACTTTAATATTTTATATTTATAAAATATGATACGTTATAGGTTCAACTATCCAACAGTATGTAGAGTAGTTATACCTCCACCAGCTACAATATTAAAATGCTGAATACATGTTTATGCAACTTTAGAATAACTGAATAATCTGCTGCTTTATGAGTACACTTCTGATTTCTGTACTTTTACTTAAATACACTGCTATCATAACTTCAATCGTCCAAAAACTATTTGAGTCACTCATTCCCATCACCCAACTCAAAAATAAACTGTTGGAGTAACTCATTTGTTTTAAGTGAACTTAAATTTGTGCAGTATTTTTGTTTGTTTGTTCCACTGACTCATTTTCTTCAAGTTGACTTTATATCATTGTAAAAATATTAATTGGCTACCATTTTGATAATTGATTAAGTAATTTAATAATTTGCTTTAGCGGAAGCAAACTGAATATATAAGCAGATAAATTCTGTTAACACATTTTAAATAAGTTGTAGAAATGCTGCGTATGAGTGTAACATACTTTAGTTTAGTAGTAATTTAGTAATTAGTTTTAAGTACAATTAACTTAATTTACCTTACTTTAACAATAAATGAGTTACTTGTACACATATTTTTTCATGCTTAAATTGTTGGAGTTAATACATTTGAACAGTTTAAGGCGATTGGTAAAGTAACTCATCAGGTTTTACAGTGTAAGGCTATTTTCATAATTATGTACTGTAATTAAAGTATATGGATCTTGTCTGTATCTATATCACTATCATATTCCATGAGTTGATGTTTTCTACAGTAACACAGTAGAAAACTACAACTGTTAAATAAATGTAAGGGAGCAAAAGTTATAAAATGAATAAGATGTTATTATTTTGTTTTTATATTTGAAATGTTCATTGTTGTTTTATTTCTGGACTCCATGAATCATTCGTTCATCCTTCTCTAAGTCTAACTGCTGCCATTGTAACGGACAGCTTTAATGAAGTCTATAGGCTGATTTCTAACACTGATTTCTTTGAAAGAACAGTCATTTAAGTGCACTTTAATGGTTTCACAGATTCGGTAACATGTGGAGCATCAGCCTCCTCCCACTGGAGCTCCTCTCTCCAGCTCAGCTCCTGCTGGGCTGCAAATGGGGAGGAGGGGTTGAGAATGAGAACTGTTAGCAGCTGCTGATTCCTTCAGTCACTGAATCTCTGCTGCTTCCTTTATCAGCATGTAATGGGTCTGGTGTATGACTGACGGCTTTATAGTGATAAGATAGTGTTGGTTAACTGGAGGCCAGGAGAGAACTACTCACCACATGTTGTCTATAAATCAGAAACCGATATTAGATCATTGTCTGATAACTCCACTATCTATTTACAATCACCCCAAGTTCATCACTAAACCCTATTTTGTTTCTAATTTAGTAGTGTTACAACATAAACTGTAATGTGGAGTAAACCAGAGTCCGAGGTGCAGTCTATAAGTTCATGACTGTAAAAAGTATGTGGTGCGTAAAATGGTACACATTGTGCGCACGGTGGCAGGTGACTTAAAGGTATCCAATTTGTTCACACTGGACGAGAAGGGCTCACAAGAAGGAAAGGAAAAGCATTTAAAGTAGTTTCAGTGTGGTTTTATTGTACGAATATAAAGAATAAATAGCACATTTCCTTAATTTACAGGATAAAACAAGTCACCGATTCACGGCTGTATCAATAATCCACGTTCAACTCTGAGGTCGATCTGCTTGAGTCCTTACGTGGCTCTATGCGCCATATCTCCATAAATACAAAATATATAACCAATATTCTCCACAAATAAAGTAGACTCTGGTTACAAATAATACTGACTTTGTACAGGGAGCTATATAGAACTGCATGGCACCGCATATACAGAAAATACATTCCTACACTCGGTAGTGCACGTGAGAAAAGAATCACAAAAATAATGAGCTTATAATTTATTCTCAGAGTCCTTTGTTTGTTTGTTTGTTTGTTTGTTTTTAACTGGAACAGGAGCATTTGCAGTCTGTGATGATCGGGTACTGCACCGGTATCCACGCGCATTTCAGCCCCCCTTTCCTCTGCACGCACCTCCATCTCAGTATCGTCAGGTGGGTCGAGTTCGCAGGTTTACACACCATCCCCTCCGGAACCGAACACGACCTCTTGCTGAGGCAGCTGCCCGCGCGCACGAAGCGCGGCCAGAACCGGTTCCCCAAGTCGGTCCACGTGTACACGACCGGGCAGAACGAGTACGCCCACAGCCACTGCTGCAGCCGCCGCTTCAGTTTCTTACTGGGCTTGTGCTTCTTGCCGAACTGGACGTCGAAGTCCACCGCCCGGATTTCCTTCGGCAGTACTCCGCCGGGCTTTTGGATCTCAAAGTCATCGAGCTCGTCGTTCCCGGTGTATTTGTCCTCCACGGGCGCTAAAACGGACAAAAAGCGGCTGTCAAAGTCTCCCAGGACGCTTTTCAGCTCGGTCTCGTTAAGGTCCCGCTCCTTGGGGTCGAAGACCGGGTCCGGGTCCTCTCTTAATTCCACAAGAGGCAGGCTGTCACTCGGGATGGGGCGCAGAAGGTAGTAGTGCTGACAAATCCCCCTGTTCATCAGAAGTCCCAGGGACAGCACCAGCAGATACATGGCCACGCACTGTTGAGACTGATCCATGGCAGACCAGGTCCGGTGGAGAGTTCGGTGCGCACAGGGAGCTGCTAAAGGGCCACTTTCTTGTGCGCAATTACGCGTGAGCCGTATCCAAACCTGCGTCTTAAAGGTGTCCCTTTAAAAAATTCACTTTCCCATGATGGAAATCCGTGACAGGAATCAGAAGTTGGTCCGCAGCAGCATCAGTGGGAACTATTTTTTGATGACAAACTGCGTGACAAAGCTCAGATCTCTCCTCGGGCTCCGTGCGCGCGGGCTCGGCATGATGCTCCCGTTGTCTCCTCCACAGAACAGCGCTGAGCGTCACCCGCCACCTCCGTTATATTCCCCACACGGAGCGTGACGTAATCCGTGTGCCCCTCTTTGAATGTGGGTTTGTTGTCTAGGAGGAGATCCCCAATACCTCCTTCTTCCACCGCGCTGGAGGAGGGAGGGGTGGTGGTGTAGAGGGGAGTGGGAGGAAGGGGGTGTGTTGGGAGAGGAGACGCCCCCTGTCGGTTTTCCAGACTTCCTTAAGTCAGTCTCACAGCGGGGTTGACTTTCATCTGGAGAATCCTTCTGCTGGAGCTTCAGTATGAAGCACCCAAAGGTACCAGCGCCGGCTCCCAGCAGCCCACACCATCCAAAACTTCATTCCTGCTGCATTTATTTGACTCCTACAGTTACCAGTTATAGGTGCAGATTAAGATTTCAGACACAAAACACAATCGCTTTATAAATGTATGATTTATAGCTATAGATCAAAAGTATATTCTAGTTAAAATGAGCTCCTTTACCAGCTACAACATTAACATCAACGTTAATGCATCAGCATATTAAAGTAACACTGACAGAGGCCATTCTGTACACTGACTACTTTCACTGTTCATACTTCAACTACATTTTGTTGATCAAACATATGTACTTTTACTTTGAAATCAGCAGTTTTACCATGGAGTGTTTTTCTACATTGTAGATGACCTAAATTGGACTCATTACCTTTGAATGAGCCTTTCATAGCTTTTATATCTAAAGATGCCACAGGTCGCCTTCCACGGAGTCCGCCATGTTTCTACAGTTGGCCAGAAGGGACAAACCGAACACTGGCTCTAGATAGGGGGCGAAGGAGTTTTATTTTTATTTTTTGTGGCCACCGTAGTTTCTCCTTTGCACTTGTAAGGGGAGGGTGAAGCGAGGGAGTTGCGAGCTGCGACACCGCTAGATGCCACTAAATCCTACACACTGGACCTTTAAAGAATGAAGAAATAAACAGTAGCTACAGAATATTTAACTGAATTTCGTCAAATTTGTGATGAATCAAAGACATGGGTCAGCAAAAACCAGCATGATGCTGACCTGTTGTGAGTCAGTTTGCAAAAGAGAAAAACAGGTGTATTATTGATTTAAATAAGAAAGTACGACATACATTTGGAAATACTGTGTCCTCTGATACAAAGTCTAATTTCACATGTTGCAAACGCATTAACTGTGTACATAGGGGACAGCTCAGAGAGGCTCACGTCTGTACAGACATTTATTTTTCAAATAACGCACAAACTGCAGAAATATTCAGCTCTATAATTGAATTTACTCACAGATTTTATTTAATAAGCAGCAACCAGACAGCGGGTCATTACAAACTCATGCTGTGGAGCCACTCATTCTTCAAACCCACTCAGCGTTATCTCAACATCTAAAGACACCAAATATGTCGGCCTGAAGCTTGTGTGTATAAAATGACTCACGAGACCTGGAGGTTACTTCAATTTGATCAGTGTACAATTATTATAATGGAGTCTCACTCAGTGTAAACATCATATAGCTCCAATAACTAACAACCCGACAGTACAAGGAGAAAGCTGCATGTTAAGGGTTTGCAATTTGTTCACAAATTGTTCTGAATGCGGGGTTGATCCACGTTGTTGCCTTTATTAAAAATGGCCCGAGACAATCGAACAAGCTTTATCAAATCACCCAATTAGCAGAAGCTTTCACTTATTTGAAGAAAGGCACAATTTACAGCCTGAATATGAGATGAAATGGCTCGTTAAGTAGACTTTTTGCAGTGTATTTACTGCCTGTGTCCAACTCAAGTGGGACAATATTTCTGCCTGTAACGGTGCCACAGCAAGCCTCTCAATAAAGCCGGCCAAATTAGCTCCCAAATAAACAACGCTCACTAAGCAGCAGCCATGGAAAGTATCACAATTTGCAAACCTGTCTAAACTCATGCTCAGAGAATCATTCTTTGAAAAAATAATTTAATGGAAGAACTTAGCCAGCTGCTACATCAGCCATAAACCATCCGCTTTAGATAAATGCATCTCTGTTTCAATTTGAATGAGCTAATTCACACAAGCACTTGAAGCACACGACTCATTTAGTTTACGGTCAAATGATGGTGAAAAGTCTGGAAAATGTCACCCTTATATTTTTCATCTGACCGGCACGTATCATAAACTATCGCTCCCCCCAAGAAACGCCTGACAGATCAATCCAGTGCATTCACGTGTGGGACGGAGCCGAGTAAACTGCTCGCACATACGCTTGCACACAGATCGGCCTCTTAAACACACAAGAAATCGCTGCAATTAAAGATTAAGACCAATCACTTGCTCTCATTTGCGGTGCTCGGTCGCACAACTTGAGGGGTTTTCAAAATGAAACTGGCATGTTAAATAATATTTCACGCGCTGGAATATTTCGTTTCTAATGTGGCTGCATGGATGAAGTTCAAATATGGTTCTCATTAAGTGTCATCAGGATTGCCAGGCTCATTTAACGCCAAGTTGTTTTTGTTTCTTCTAATCCCTTCCTACTGTTTTACCACAGGAACATTTTGATAGTGAAATATTCCTCCTTAAAAAGACAGGCTACTTGAGACAGACGCCTGCTTAATTGAGGAGGGTTTTTTTCGATTCTCGAGCTAACCAAACAGAGTTCCTTTTGGCCAATAAACCGGCCGATGTAATGACCTTTTTTTGCAGGGGTCTGGTTCTTTGGGAAGACTTTTAAACCTGCGCTTAAGGATATGCGTTCAAAATGAATCTCCCTGTTTTGAGCCGTGCTACAGGTCATTGTGGCCTTCCCTGCTGATTTCTCATTTAGTGAGAAAAAGCAGACTTCTCTCTTGGCAGACACCTCCTGCACCGGTACCAAGAAAAGGCACGCTCAGGTAGAAACACACACACACACACCAGAAAGGACTCAATGATTTTGATAGCTTTCATGCATGCGAGAGCAAGTCGCAAAGACATTCAGATATTCAGAAAATCTGCTTTGAGAGGCGATCTCTGAAACAGAATCCTCCGAGGCGACTGTTAAGGCTTCATATCTGCAGTGGCTCGGTGCAGGAGGTTATCAATGACGGCGTCATTCAGAAAACACAAAGCACCTTTCACGCGCTTTATCTCCCTCGGTGCGTTGTTTCACACCTCGTGCTAATTGAGGCCACATTGCCAAGCTGAATACACACAGACACGAAGTGGGTGCTATTCTGTTTACTCTGGCACTCGGGAGGTGTGCAATTTGCTAGTTTGTTTAGCACTTTTTTCCATTCCTCTGCAATCCAAGAGCACACAATCACAATAATCACTCCTGCTGGGAGCTTAATTAAAATTAATTGCTACTTGTGACCACTGACCATGAGTCGGGTGGCAGATTTGCATTCTTGCAAGTCGTGCTATTTTTGTCCTGTTGGAGAATTAAAGACTTTGTTACCTGACGATTCTGAATTTGTCATCTTCAATCCGTGTTGTGTCCCATAAATACAACAAAATCAGACATGCATCAACCTGAAAAACTTAAATCGACTGATTGTCTGAAGATTTTTATGTCAGATATGAATTTCATTGTAATGGTTGAATTTTATTCACATTTCTTAAATCTCTAAGGCGAGGTTTCATATTCAAAATAGCAGTTTGATACAGGGTTGAACTCTGGAGCTTACAGCCAGAAAGTCAGATAATCAAAATTCAAATTAACGCTTTCAAATTTATATAGAGTCATCTTCAGGTTGCAGAGAACACTCATAAATATCTGTGGCTTTTAACGAGCTCTATAATTAGCACATTTAGCTCACTTTTCCCACAGGTTGATGCTCAAAGCACCCAGAGCCTGGTGTGAGTGTGTGTTCCTTCCATTCCTCCATAAAAAGCTTTCACAGACAGAAACTCTGCATCCAAACAAAGTCATTAAAGCAGAAGTCAGGACAAAGTACTCAGTGATTACTCAGGAGACTGAATTTGTGTATAGGCATACAGGTGACGGACGAGTTTATCAGTATAATATACATACACACACACACAGAACAGAAGCAATAAAGGCGATGGTGCTCCTCTGTGTTAGTGAAGGGATTCCTGAGGAGATGCTGGAGGAATTTTATTTCTGCCTTTAAACAACCTGTTGTCTAAAAACATAAAATCCAAGAGATTAGATGGTTGACTATTTAAAGTAAAAGTACACAGATGGATCAGCTGGTGGCACTGTAACAAGTATTTTTACATTTTGGCTCTTTTAAACGTTTCCCCCTCTTGTCTTTGGCTTATTGCGCGTGCTTCTGGATAATCATTTTTCCAGTATTTTAAATTTTATTGAACATTTTTTGTCAAGGTCGATCTAAATGAAATTTTACACCCGGTATATTGCCTTCCTAGATTACTGCTGATACCAAGAATTTTGATAACCCACATTATTTAGCTGTGATGTAAAAACATGACTCACGCCTCATTAATTTCAGTGGGATCGCTGCATTAGCTCAGCAGGAGCGCAGACACAGAGGTCGCCAGCCAGAATCCAGCAAGCCACTGCAGTGACCAATGCAAGCATTCTGCTGTTTACCTGGCAATTGTCACATCTGAAGATACAATAATGGTTGCTGTGTAAACTTTAAAAAAGGGACAGTTCATTCCATTTCCGTTCTACTGAACTACAGCCGCCAACCGTAGCTGAACATTTGCTATCTCAGTGGTGCTAGGTGAGCTAGCTCACGTTACAGCTCAGCCGCCATTAATGTTTACATCCTGCACTCGTCCTTGAGTAGATGCACTCCTTCTGTGCAGTGATACGTAGGAAGAAGATAGTTCCAACATGAAACGGCTCACAAGTGTTGAGCTGTACAATTTGCAACTGCAATTTTGTTTTTCTCCAGCAAGGTTTCCATCATGTTTACCAAAATCTTTACAGCCGATATCACGTATAGATACAAGAATCTAAGATCAAAAGTTAACTTACTAATGAGTCAGAGCTCACAGTCTTCATTCAG